TTTTTTAAATACAGTAATACTCTTAAAATATGTCCACTTTTATCGGATGGAATAGTTCAAAATAATCCAAATAATTTATCCAAAAAATAAATTGAAAAATCAATGCAAAGTTTAAAAAAAATATCTTTCTTTGCTAGAATAAAACACATAACAATCTAATCTTTATTGGATCATATAAAATAATAAAATTGAAAATGAACTAAACTTATATTATTGGAAATAAAATTCAATATCAAAGTGTTACATAAGGTGTACTTTAGGATGTATAGTGTATTTAACCCCAAAAAAAAAACGAAAAATACGAATGAACTCATTTACTCCCCTAAAAATATGTATAGACATATAGGAAGTTCAAACTCCTACTACAATATTACATGGACTCTATTTTAGCGTACAAAATAGAGTTCAACTAGATCAGACGGCCCTCAGTATTATTACCGATGGTTTGTCCAAAGATCAGATCACAAGGTGTCTGAAAATAAAGATTAATTATTGTCCTCATATTCGTAATATTCGAGACCCTGATAAAGATAGGGAAGTTTGTGCGGTTTGTTTCGATGCTTTGTGCCAACAAAATAATAATCATGGGATTATTAATAATATCGGAATTGTCGAGTGCAAGCATGAATATCATTCCGATTGCATCAGACGCTTTCTGCAGGTGAAGAACTTTTGTCCGTTGTACAAATCCGTGGCATTTAACTATCAGCTTGCAGATCATGTTAATTAATCACGAAAATTTAGATTGGCTCGGTTTGCGTTATTATGTAAAGTTGTTTGATGAGTGCATGATTTGGACTCCAGTTCATTACTTTATGACATGGATTATTGCTCGTTTCTTAGTCATTTTTATTCTTTTTATGTGCATTTGGTGTTTTTAGTGTTTTTATAGGTAAACACGTATAAAAAGAACGAATAATGGCGGTGAAAAATACAAGTTTCGGAGGCAAAATAAACATTTGGAGGATAAATTAAAAGGACGATTTTGGCAGTGTTCACAATATTTGGATTGAAATCCACGACATACTCATTGAAAACCACTATAAATTCATCGAAAACCACTATTCGATTAACGTAGAAATCAGTATGAAATTGAATATAAATTTACATAATCCACTACGAATTAACGTAATCCATTACAAAATTATCAAAATCCACTACAAAGTTATCAAAATCCACTTTATAGGTTAAAGTAATCCACTACAAAATTAACGTAATATATGGTTAATCCACTAAAAAAATATCGTAGAAAAATACTTATGCATCAACAACAAACTTATCAAAATTCACTACAAGCTTCCGAATTTATGATAGTGTTGCTCGTGGTTTTCGTTAGGTTAGAGTGACCCGGTGATAAACACTACAAACTTATCATCACCCAACATCGTCTCACTTGCTGCCATCACCCGCTTGTGCAAGAACCTAAACCAAAGAAAAATAAGACAACAACGTGTCAATTTAATTCATTCACTAAAATTCGGTCTCCAAAGCAAGAATTTAAAATCCACTATAATCTCGCCAAAACCCACTACAAAAATTATCGAAATCCACTAAAATATTAACATAATCCACTACGAAATAAGTTAATCCACTAAAAAATTACAACAACAGTATAATAACAAATATTCAAATAGTGACCGAAAACATGAAGGAGCCTCAAAAGTATATTGAAAATCTCATATATATAATAGTTCATTCAACAATTCAACTAGTTGTCACTTCTATTTTGTTATCCATCATATAGAATTTATTTATGGATATAAAGAAAAAATGATAGCAAAAAAATAGCAGCAAACCAACATCTTAAAACAGCAGCAAAGCAACACGAAATCAACAGCAAAACAGCAACAAAATCAGCTGCAAATTAGGAGCCAAACAGCAGCAAAGCCAAAAGAAAACAGCAGCAAAAACAGCAGCAAAAAAACAGCAGCAAAAACAGCAGCAAAAAAACAGCAGCAAAAACAGCAGCAAAACAATAGCCAATTGTAGCTAAAAAATACAATAAATAAATTATAATTCTAAATTTTCAGAAAAAAATATCCAAAATTTGAAAATATTTTTGGAAATTATGGAATTTTCGATAATATTTAGTGCTTCACCTTATTAATTCGTATTGTATTTCTTACTAAAAATTATCAAATTTCAAAACCAAAACATGTTTGAAATAAGACATTATCAAATTTCAAAACCAAAACATGTTTGAAATCAGAAGAATTTATATAAAAAAAATATGAAATCATAGGATGAAAAATCAAAAAACCTAAAGCGACGAAGTATTTTCGCCTACCTTATAATCAACAACCGCCGACGAGAAAGAGAACCGCGGTGAACTTATCTATTTGCCGACAAAATATAGAGGGAATGAGACAAATCGTTCTGCGTTTTGGGAAAACATACCAACTTCGTGGGTAAGCGGATCTCGTCAGCGAGTGAGAAGACGATTAACAAGATGGACAGATCTGGTAGTATGTAACGAGGGGCGGCGATGGTGGTGGGAAAAGAGAGGGGCGGCGGCCGAGGAGGAGAAGGGCGGAGATGGTGTGGTCATCCGGTGAGACGACGAGGTTGTGGAGCAAGATTATGGCGTGATTGTGGAGAGAAGGAAGGAAGAAGACGAAGCGAGGTTGTGGGGCGTGCCTGATTGTGGAGAGAAGGAAGGGAGAAGAGGAATAAGTGAAAGGACGTGTTTCGGGGTTTGAGAAAGGATATAACAGGATTTGTTTAATAAAATACAATTGGATTTATCTCAAAAAGGAGGAAAAAAAAATGGATTTAGTCTAATGATACATTGTATATGAGGGGGTTATCTCAAATAATCCCATAAAAATATTGAAAGAGGAAGAGGGAGACAAAAAGTGGAGAAGAAATTGAGCGGCCAAACTGAAAATTTTAGACTTACTTTTTTCATTATTATATTGAATATTGTTAATTATTAATTTAACTGTCCCAATAAGTTTTATTATTGGGACAAAATTTAACTAGTGTCTTAATATCTGATTTTTGAGACATTTGTATAAAAGTGTCCCAATTAAAGTGTCCTATTATCCATATTTTGTTGTAGTGAATATTGGTCCTAATTTACTCATATAAACTCGAAATGATCTGATTCTAAAGGTTTTTGAAAGCTATCTGGTAGGGGTAAAACTCCTATTTTAAGACTATTTAAGCTAAGAATCGAGCAATTGTGCAGTTTTTGTGTCTAATTAATCGGTCTTAGATTCGTTCAAACATAGATTTATGCAAGTTCGATGAAATATTTATTTCTTATAACCTTGATTTTAATTTATACATGAATTTGATCAATTTATGAACAATTGTGTTGCAGCGGTTGAGATTGTTTTTGACATATTCTTCAAGTGTGGATCCTGCCTGCAATACCCACAAAAGTTGCCAAATGTACTCTTACAAGAATCTCAATTTGTTTTTTACAAAATATTCCCTTCATTTGTTTATACAAAAATTGACTCGGCCAGTTTATTTGAATGATATTATTTGTTAAGCACACACTATTATGTCAGTGTCCCCCTATATAAGATCATGAATTTAATTATAGCATCCTTAATTTCCTACAAAGACAATCAAGAAACATAGAATTGTCAGACACATTGTTAAAAAAATAAATTAATCACGGTGAGAAAGTTGCTAGTCTTTTTCAGCCCGTTTCCGAAGAGTTTGAAGCTAATGGTGAGTCCTATTTGTTAGTTCACTTGTCGAATGCACGCACACACACCCACATGCATGTATGCGTGCGTTAATTAGGAACTTTTCTTTAATTTTTTTTTCTTACAATTAAGTGCCGTGAAGTGTAGGGAACTATGGGCTCTATAGAATGGAATCGGGAGGAAGAAAAGGTGCGGGATTTGATAGCGGAAAGAATGACTATAATTGGTAAATCTATGCTATACGCGTTGAAATTTATCGGATGATCCGATAGCTAATTGCATACGTCCATTATATAATTAAGCAATATTTGAATTAATGTTTGGTTAAATATTTATTTTCATTTTTCACATTTTCGAAGGCTAAAAACACCGCCGGCAACGCCTCTATTTCCGTCACTTGAGATGGTTACAAATGGGCAAGAATTAGTCATTCAGAGGGAAATACCAATCCTCCAGCCTCTTTTAAGGGTATGTTGTCGAATCATTATGTATAATCAATCGAAAACATTTTTTAAATAAGCAAATTATTTTTTTCCGACTTTTGATCGAGTAAATTTCATGGTAATCATCGTACTATAAATATTGGCAAACACCCTATATTTCAATTTTTTAAGCAAATTACGACTTAAACCTCATCGTTTAGGTTGTTGCATGTTAAAAAATGGCGTCATAAGAGTTTTTCTTCGTTTTTTTTTTCATATTAAGTACACGGAGAATAATTTAAAATTTTGATAAAATACAAGAATTATATGGTGTACACTTCACCAGGTGTAACATCTAATGAACGTAGATTCAATCACCATTCGGTAAAAATAGAAATAAACAAAAATACCAACATCTAAACCAATTATATGTACTACATGCAGTTTGCAGGAAATTCACAAGGCACAGAAACAAGTAGCATACCAATATCTCCAAAACCTAAGCCAAAACTTCCGCAACGACACAAGACACCGAACGCTAGGCCAAGTATATCACCGTCATTCGAAAACAAGAACATGAAAAGCCCACCAATTATAAATCAAAAAAAGTCAATCCCAGTTAAGTCAACCCCAAACGAAAAAGTCCACCCGAATTTCCCAACATCATCATTAATAAACCTTACAAAAAACGCAACGACCATGGAACCAAATTTCAAAAGGTGCAATGGTAATACAATGACTAGTAACGAAAGGTAAGCGAAAATGTTTGCCTAATTGACAAGCATTACAAAGAGACTCCCGTGGGTCTTTGGTACAGAAATGAAATTGGAAGAAAAAAGACGAGACATGATAGGTTTTCCCGGGTGGCCGAGACGACGATGCCACGTAGTAGAAGAGACAGATGTAGTGTGAGCAATTAGGGCGGTTGCGGGCTGGGAGAAGGGGCGCCAATAGGGTATAAATCACCGGAGCTATTGCACCTGAGGATGACTGCTCTGGTCCGGAGGTCCTTCACACAAAAACCATAAGGGTCAAATTCAATCGAACATGAATTATCTCTGGTGAATTTTCGGACAGACACAAGGTTCTTAATGATGTGAGGGGTGACATAGACATTGGTTAGACGAAACGGGGTAGAAAGTAGGATGGTGTGGCCAATTTTAAGGATAGGAACGGTGGAGCCATTACCAACGATGACATGCTTGGGGAAATTATTACTAGGATTAAAAATAAAATGGAAATTACCTGAGTGAGGTGCCATGTGAGATGATGCGCCCGTGTCCATAAACCATTGAGGTTCGCTCGATGACTGGAGAGTCAATGTGTTGAGATGAGTAGCAATATCTGATGGCTGTAAGACACCACTATTCGATGAACTGTTGGAATAGTTCGCGTGCAGTTGGGAAGGATAATTGAAGGCAGTGGAGGAGTGGCCAGATGTCGGATCTTGTTGTCCAACGAAATAAGCATGAGCTGTAGGAGCATTATAAGGACCAGAAGAGCTTTGGGGGGGGGGGGGGGTCCAAGAATTGATGAAGATGACTGAGGTGTATAAGGGGCCCGCCAAGGTTGCGATTGGTTATGAAATTGATTATAACCGTAGTGTTGCATCGGATGTCGCGGCTGACCACGACCATCACGACGGTTTGTGCGACCTCCACCTCGCTGATTGCGCCAAGATCCACCACCTCGATAATTGCCGGGAGTGTTGGGCCAACTGTTGGAACTGTTCGGCCAACTGTTGGAACTGTTGGGGCGAGATGCGTAGAGAACAATAGGGGCCTGCTCCGGTTCAGCAATACGGTGTTCTTCCATCTGAAGTAGTGAACGAGTTTGGAGAAAAGATGGCAGCGGATTTTGGAATGAGATTAGATTCACAATGGTCCCGTAATGTTTGGGTAGGCCGTGGAGGGTTTGGAGGATGAGTTGTTTGTCCGACACGGGGTTGCCGACATCAGCCAAGTTGTCGGCAGTGGTTTTGAGAAGTTGACAATAATCATGGATCGAGAGAGATCCTTTCTTTAGGGACTTGAACTGTTCTTCGAGTTGAATGGCCCGATAGTCTTCGTTGTCTGTAAAGAGAGAGGCGAGGGCCTTCCACAGATCATGAGCCATTTCGGTTTTGGAGAGAACCATGCTCGAGAGGTCCTCGGTTATGGTGCCATAGATCCAAGATTGGAGAAGGTAATCCTCGCATTGCCACTCATCGGCAGAGATGTCGGAGGGCTTTTCTTTACCGAGAAGGAGATCGGTGAGACAGAAGCGGCATGCGGTGATGGTGAAGAAGTGGCTCCACTTTTGATAATTCGGATTTTTAATATCCAATGTCACAGGAATAATGGCTTTGATGTTAGATATGGCATGAGCAAGATGAAACGGGTTGGAAATCATGGTCGGTGTTGGTGTTTCGTAGGTCATGGTGGATGAAGAGAAGAAGAAAGAACGAGAAAAAAGAGAAAAAAAAATTAAAGAAGAAGGGAAACGGCGGCTTAGGGTTTCTGGCTTTGATACCATGATTGAAGAGAAATATTTGGAGAGAAGAGAGAGTGATGATCTCTCACGTTTATTGTGATATATATATTACATGTGTGAAAACCCTAACCCTTTACACATGGGAACTAAGAGATATACATACCAATAATCCAATATTTATCTATAGGGTCCATTAGAGATACACCCCTTATATGGAAAATATATAGGGATAGGTCCACCACTAAAAATCTTCCTTTGAGATACCCCCTGGAGAGGCAAAAGTACTATTGTACCCTTATTTATAATTTTCGCCCAACTGCATTCAGCATTCTCACCTACTGCATTTATCATTTTGGACCTGCATTTCGTATATTGTACTGCATATATCATTTTATTTTTATTTTTAATTATTTTTTTATTACTGTATATATATTGTACCTTTTTATTATATTGTATTTTTTTTAAAATTTTTTTTTTAATATTTTGATATTTTTTATTTTTCAATTTTTAATTTTTCGATTTTTTTAATTTTTTTGATTTTTTTAATTTTTTTAATTTTTTTTAATTTTTTTAATTTTAAAAAAAAATTAATTTTTTTTTATGAATTCAAATTTTGGTAAATTATTGAACTAAAAGTATACTGCACATGACTACAGTTTACTACAAGTTCAATAGTCCTGTATAGTTATATATAGTCATGTACTGTCTTTTTACCCCAAAATTCATATACACCAACAAAAGAAATTCACAATTTATCTTGATATTATAAATCAACTAACAAACAAAAAATGAAAAAATACAATCACATGTATTTATTCTTCAAACATGAACAAGTATTACTGTACATTAAAAACCTATAGCATACATATAACTCTATGTTACTACAAGTGACTATAGTTATTTCCAATTATCTTTAGTTATATATAGTGACATAAAGTTTAAACTATTGTAGCATGAATCCAACTTCTCAAAGGCACTTCATCGAATCTTATTCTCTGCATGTCATAAAATTATAATAAAAGCACAACCTGCGACAATAAAATACGAGTTAAATAGCAAAATGGAAAATGCGAGTTAGATTACATGAAAAATACAAAAAAAAAAAGAAAGAAAAAAAAAACATGATTTTTTTTTGTTGATAAATTTACTGAACTGAAATCGACTAGAAATGACTATAGTATAACCAAGTCCTATAGTCATGGATAGTTATATGTAGTCATGACTATACATGACTACATATGACTGACTATACATGACTGTATATGACTAAATATAATTATATATTCACCTGACTCAAACCACTCATGTAAGTAACACTACTGGTTAAATTTCTATTACAAACAAATAAAGCTCTCACACTTTAGGCATTTCGAATCATCTTCAAATAAATACAAAAAATAAATTACATACGATTTATAATAAAAAATCAAGTTACATGAAAAATACAAAAAAACATGATTGTTTTTTGATAAATTTACTGAACTGAAATCGAGTACAAATGACTATAGTATACCACAAGTCCTATAGTCATGTATAGTTTTATGCAGCCATGACTATACATGACTACATGTGACTGACTATACATGACTGTATATGACTAAGTATAATTATATATTCACCTGACTCAAACCACTCATGTAAGTAACCACTACTAGTTAAATTTCCATTACAGACAAACAAAGGTCTCACACTTTAGGCATTTCGAATCATCTTCAAATAAATACAAAAAATAAATTATAATATGATTTATAATAAAAAAAATCAAATTAATCCAAAGAAAAATATTTTAATATTAATTGTTCACAGATCTTCAAAAACATAGTAGATCTGTGTTTTTTTTATATAAATGCAGTAAATATATACAAATCGAACACCACCAATTCCAGATCTGAAATTCACCATTAGATCTGACTACACATCGTCGGATCACAATTGAATTTTTTTGAATTTAGTTGATTTTCATAAAAAAAATAATAAAATAAGGTGAAATAGTGAAAATAATTCAGATCTTAAAATCTAAATTAAAAATGGATAGACATTCATAAATTAAAAAAAATAACTTAAAAAAGTGAAGTGAATGGTTTAGTACCGAGTTCAAAGCGGTGGGAGGAGAAACAACGGCCGGCACAAGGCCGTGGCGGAGCAGCGGTGCAGGCTTTGACGGAGCAAAGGGCCGGCCGGTGCGGAGCGGCGGAGCACGGCGGAGCAACGAACGGAGCGGCGGGGAAGGCGTGCGGCGGAGAAGGCGGAAAAGCGGAGCGGCAGAGAAGGCGGAGAAGCGGCGGTGGAAGGTGAGAGAGAGAAGAGAACAAAAATTTTGAGAGAGAGAAGAGAACAAAAAAATTGAGAAAGAGAGAAGAGAATACGTGGAATGAGGGAGAGAGCAGAAAACGGCTGGGAAGAGGGGAGAGAGAAAATATTGGTGAGAGGGTTAGGGTTTTAAATTATAACTAAAAGGGCAAAATTGGTATTTTAATTTGTCTAGGGGGTCTATCAAATTAAGATTAGAATTTGGGTTTTTATCTAGGAAAGAAAAATCTATAGGACCTATGCCTATATATTTTCAAAACTAGGGGGTTATCCCTCATTTCCCCTTATCTATAATACATATATTAATAAAAAATAAAAATACATAAAGATACGGCTAATATCTTTTCCTTTCATTTTCAATTTTTATATTTTAAAATTCACGATCCAAGTTATTTGCCAATATTTCTTTGGCATGAGTAATTAACAAAACATATTTTTTATGAATGAAGTCCCAATTGGAATCGCCCAAGTTCATCTCTAAGGATATTTTATTGGATATCTATGTAGCATCAAGCATGGATACACGACGATACGTGGAAACGGAAAATGAATACGGGGAAATGGCATGTCACAAAAATGGGATTTGGCGGAAACATGTAAATATTAAAACTGTAGGGGTATATATTATAATAATAAATATGCTATATAAATATATATAACTTTTTAGTTATATATAAATTACTTTTATACAATTTCATACATACATATTTAAAATAACTTTTACTATCAACTACCAGCTTGCAATTGATTATCAGACCATGTAAGTAATTAACGAAGTAACAAATATATTTGAAGATTAATTATTCAAACATGTTTTAAACTTTTTAGAAATTCCAAAGTGGCCCATAAAATGCTCAATAGGTGTCCTCAGGTATCGGACACGAAACGTGTCCGAAACACAAAAATATTATGAAGTTAAGGTTTCCGCGCTACATAGATAGTGATTGAAGGTCGTTCTTTGTGTGATTTGAAGATTTCATAATTTCTCTAAAATTGGGAGACATTTGCACCATTTTATTTTTTAATACTACAATTATATTTTGTATTATTAAACTTATCGTGATGGGATTATTGTATTATTAATAGGTTTCCATAAGATGAATTTGAAGTTCCCGAGATGCAAGCTGTCAATTTGAAATTTATAGTTAAATACATTATTAATAAATACTCCATATGTTCTACAATAATTGTCTTTTTTTTAAAATATTTTTGTTTCATATTATCTGTCACTTTAGATTTCCAATAATGCATTAAATGCATTTTTCCTGTTTTAACCTTATTAATACATCTCTAAACATTAATTCTCCCTTATAAATCATTAATTGTTAAATGTTGTTTTAGTCATTTTTATGTGATTTTCCTAAAATCAAGCTACATTTATTAAATTTCTTAATCCTTGTGAAAAGTAAAAAGAGACACTTACATAAGCCAATTCGTAAAAGAAAATTAGAAGTGTTAATTTAAAATCATCCAATCAAATTCGAGCATAAAAGTATGTACTTAAATTTGGGAAAATTATATTGTACATCCCTCAAATTTGCACCGATTTCACATTTGGTCTCTCATGTTTAAATAATTTAATGCTTTTAGTCATTTCCGTCAATTTACCGTTAGTCTATCTGTTATGTCATTGATGTGCACACGCTTGATTCCGTTAGTTTTAACGGAAAATTGACGGAAATGACTTAAACTGTTGAATTTTTGAAACATGATGAGAGACCAAATGTGTTTTTTTGTGAACCTGAGGAATCAAAGGTGAAATCAGTGCTAATGTAGGAGACGAAAACTGTATTTTTACCATTTACATTTTAATCCTCAAACTTTATTCTTCACATAAACTAATTAAACATGTAAATTAGTCGAACCTTCTTTGAGACTCAGTCTTCATTTCGAATTTTTGAAACAGCATGAAGGACAAAATTTGTTTTTTGTGAACCTGATGGACCAAATGTGAAATCGATACTAATGTGAAGGCCGAAAACTGTATTTTTCCCATTTAAATTTTAGGGGTCATTAGAAATGAACCATATAGATAAGAAATAGTGATATGTCCATCCCTTAAATCTTTCTTTGTGATAACCCTCTAGAAATTTTATTCCCAATTCTACCCTTATGTAAATTAGCATAATTAGTCCCAATCATTCATTTTTTTCTCTTTTTCCATAACAACAATCTAATTCCTAAAAATTTGCTTCCAAATTCCAAATAAAAAAAATTATTTTTTTTATTTTTTATTTTTTATTATTTTTGGACTTTATTTAGCCATTTTTATTTATTTTTATTTTTTAAATTTTTTTTTAAAATTTTTTTTTAAATTTTTTTTTAAACAAAAAATTTCAATTTTTTTCTCGACAGTTTACAACGCCGAATATGACTATAGTTGAATATGACTATATGTGACTATATTAACTGTAGTCATATTCTTTATTGATATTGCAGTTTTTTACATTTTCAACTTAAAAATTCCAATTATATAGTGTGGTATAGTCATGTTTACCAAATTATATAAAACAACGAAGATTCCCTATTGTTTACGAAAACAATCCAATCAACATCCACACAAAAATTACAATTTGAATCTAGTTATTAGAAGTCAACTTGAAAACGAG